ACACTCTCTTCTCTGACCAACCAGTCTCTCTTACTGTCATGCAGACGCACACAAAAATATTACATGTATTTTTAGTACTTATGAAGGTCAAATGGTATGGCAAATGGGAGCTTGGTGTTAGAATATACTTGTCAACATTGAAAGGCTCTTTTATTCCCTATAGAGTTGTTTTGGGGGTTCAAGGCATTTAATGTACAATTTGATCTCCACTTCTCTCTGCAATTTTGCAGATAAACACTCAAGCTCTTAAAAGTGAAATGACACTCAGACTGAATATGAGGTGTTTGTTTTGTTTTATGGCGCAGGCTGTTCATGAGCATGTACGTGTCAGAAGGAGGCTGGTTTTGACTCTCAACAAACAGCTATTTGCCTGATGCTTGCAGTGTGTAGTGTGTTGCACATGCTTGTTTGCTGTACTTATTCTTAACATCTTTCTGTGTTTTATGGCTCCATCACCACTTTGCTCCTAGGGTTTTAAAAGACAGTTCATAATAATCTAAAGAGAAATCTCTGCAGGCTTCCTGATCTCACACACCACTTGGTGCTTTTTTGCAGCAGGGGACCAAATCAGACAAATGTTAATAGTAGTATATAACAAGGTGCTGATTGCTCCACCCTGAGGGGTTTCATAGGATTACTCTATGTGTTTGCTCAAGGCCAGTAAGTTAAAGTAATAGTAACTAAGTGAGGAAAGTAAGCTTTGTTTCTCAGGTTTGAAATTATCAGAGATGCCATAAGATAACTTATCAATTCTATATGCTAAAGCTATACGTTGCCCTCTTGTGATGTCTCATAAAAACTGCAATATTGATTTTAACATATTTCATTGTCTCTAGTTAGTGGGAATTCAAGTACGTGTTATGTTGTGAAGAACCAGCTTTCTTTGTCTATTGATTTAATTTTATCGTTCTTAAAATACCTTTTTTTTTTTTTTTGTCAATTCAAAACTATTAAATTGAAATTTAACTGGCTCACAATGACATTTTCCAGAATCCTCAGAGAAGTCAACTTTCATTTATTAATGCAAAGTCAGCATTTTACATTAGTTTTATGGGATTGTGTTGTTGATATTGTGAAGTTATTGCACAAATATACAGTAAATGTGTTATGGTTGCACTTTATATTTCAAATTGAGATTTTAAGGAAAAGCTGAGTGTTGTTGCTGTCAACTTTATTAACACCCTGATTTGTAACACAGCTTGTCATGTCCATGCAGTTTGGGTCAAAATGTGTGATACATAAAGAGAGTAAAAGGATAAAAGGTCTGCAAAAAGATTTTAACATTTCATCCAAGATCATTTTATTGTTTTGTGTGTGTGCTAATTTCAGAGCCAATAAGCAATCAAGGCTAATAAAAAGACAATATAGCAAACATTTAAGACTAATAATAATAGTCAGTAGTGCAATGATGGGCTTTTTTAAACCACATGCTAAACACAATGAAAATGTATGATGCCCAGAAAGCATGAAGATTTTATCAGATAGAAAGATAGAATAGAAAGATGTTTATTATGTGGAAACTGATTGCTTTAATAATTTAGCTACTGTTTTGATAATATTAGTTTAAGCATCTGTTTTGTTTCTTTTAGTTAGTTTGCCTAATTTTAGAATTTGTTTGGATACTTGTAACTACAGTTTTATTAATTTTAGCTGCTTTCGAAAACTTGGCTTTAGCATGTTCTTAGTTAGTTTTAGCTACTTTTTGCTAAATAGCTTTAGCGTATGCCTTACATATTTTTTATATTGTTTTACGCATTTTAGCATCCATTTAGCTAATTTTAGCTATGTTCTGCTGTGTTTGGCATTTAGCTTTGTTGTTTCTGCTACTTTTAGTTTTAACGTGTTCAGCTGTCTATCCTGTATTCTTAATGTTTGAACTTTAACGTCCTCAACAAATCCCAGCAGTTCTTCAGCAGTGAGGAAGTTCACTGCATTTCTTACTGGAAATGCAATGTTTGTTTAGTTCAGTTTGTGACATAAATACTGATAAGTGATTTCCAGGAGCATTTTAGGTCAAACTGAGGTTTCAAAAGTAAACAAACGAAAAATAAATAAAAAAATAAAAATCATTCTAAACTTGCTCAAGACAATAAACAAAAAAGAAGGAATAAAGACAGCTTTCAGGAAAATTTTGTTGAATAAAGTGTCAGTGCAGTCCTTTCAGGTGTAGTGACACTGGTGTATCGATGTGAAATAAATGAAAGTGTTGTTGCAAGAAATCTTGCACCTGTTTGCACAAAATTATGCCAAAGTTTGTAGGAGGTTGGACTGACGAAATGGCATGCTGAGCTTAAAAGATAACTAAAATTTACTCAAACAGAAAACAAAATGCCACATGGCAGCCAACAAACCTTCTTATAAAAAGTGAGGCAAATACAAGGACAGTACATGGAAGAACACCCGAACTGTGATGTAGAAACCAAAATGCACTGCTGCTGAGTGGAGGAGGACAAACTGAATATATGGACCAGGGCTGATGGGTGAGTGAAAACACCAGAGCTGAATGATGACTGGGAACAGGTGATGGTGTGTCAAGACTGACTGGGTGGAGGAGAATAATAGCACATATACGGGTTGATAAAATTAAATACTTGATAAATCTAAACACTTTAAGATGTGTCAATGTCCTTAGGAACTAAACAAAGAAGTCCAGATGCCATGTAATGCCCTTTTCAAGTAAACATTAATAAATTAGCTTTCAAAGCAACAAATATTTTCCCAATTTCAAATGTCTGAGGTGTTCAGACATTTGTAAAAAAGTGTGACTAGTACAGCTACATCAAAGACTGCACATTTAAAAAATCTAGTAAATTATCTCAAAGTATATTTGCAAGTTTTGTTAATAAAACAACACGTTAATCTTGTATGATTGACATGATAGATGACATAATGTTAAAGAAAAAAAGAAATGCCCACAAATTAAAGTCTTTCTTTATATCCCAAAGACAGACAATTATCTGGACTTCATTTCCATAAAAATTTTAAAATCTCAGATAAGTAGCCGTAAAGCACATCCATCAAATGTTCCTGCACATCCATAAAATGTTCGTGCTTGTCAACTTGTGTCTATAAAAGTGGTGGAGAAAAGCTGAAGTAGACCTTTTATGTCAGTAATGCTGCAGGGAAAATGTCCACACCAAGCTACAGAAGACAGCGTCCTTGACACCTGCATAGCAAGAAGCACTCTTCTGGCACTTATGGACAGTTAAGAGGCGATTTATGGAGACGCTTTTTCCAACTGGACTTGAGTTGTGTGAAACAGCCACCTGAGGCAAATTTGGCACTTTACTGCAGCAGGTTTTCTAAATGAATGTGACAGGAGGTAGAAAGGCACCTTCACACTGATGTTTTCTTTGTTTAGAAAAAAAAAAAAACATTCACAGAGGGAGAAGTTTAGAACAGAAATGGAGAAGTAGCACTTGACTAAAATAATACAGTCAGTGTGTGATTAAAAACGGGATCTTTTGTGATGTTTGCAACATTACTTGAGTATCTCAGTTGTATCTCACTTGGGATATGTTACATAATTATTGTCTTAATTAGCATCATTTGCCCTCTTTAGCTTCACTGTAAGCAATTAATAAAAACACCAAGACATCCAAAAGTCTTGCTGGTCTTCAGGGACAACGAACAGGTGTAAACAAGACAACATTTTTGTTTTTATTTCTTACTTGACAAAAAAAAATTGATAATAAAACAGATTAAAAGCTTTCTCTGTAATATGTATTAAAATATGTACCACAAAATGCAAGAACCTCTGTTTTTATTTTACTTTCCTTGTTTATGGTTTCATAAAAAGTCATCAGTCTTCTTAAGACACCGAGAGCGATAAAAATAAAATTTTATCATGCTCAAAAGAAGTGAAAATAATGGGCTTCTCTTCCTTTTCTTTACATTTTCTTCTTCAAAACATATATTTTTACTGAATATCCATTTCATCCTCAGCTCATTCTTCACATGCCCATGTCATGTTTGTAACATTATTGTATTTGAACTCAAAGAATATGAGCCATTCTGCTTCATACCCCAACAGACAGGGGTCTGTGGTTCCCATGGAAACAAAGCTGCAGAGGTGCTGAATTGGTACCCGCTGAGGCAGGTCATCATTTTGATATAAGAACCCAGCAGGATATTTGGCAACAATGTGCACATCAATGTAAATGTGTTTACATAGATGCTCTCTCAAGATTGTGAAAATATTCCTACAAAAGATTTTTGTATGAATGTTATAATGTGTATATAATCTTTGAGCAGATGCTATTCGTCTTAAGGGTTCCTATGCATGAAACTCAGAAAAAGCTGTGCATACAACAAAATGCACTGTCTCAAAAACCGAACCTCCATAATTCAAAATATAAAAACAAGCTACAGAAAAGAATATAAACCTTTTTGTTTACGCTGTTATAGACATTTTTAGTTGGTTTTGTTTCTCCGGATGAGAAACATAAAACCTTTGCGATGTCAGATGTGCATCTCAAGAAAGATTACTGTCTTGTTCTCTCACACACGAGACACAGTCCTCTTGTTTCCTGACTTGCCTTTTCTGTGTACGGTACCCATTTTTTTACACCGACTGCTCAAATAAATGTACTTCTAAAGCACTAATGTGTGTGTTTAACTTTCCAATTTTTAACACCACTAACACGCCCACTCCTGAATTTGTCAGATCTTAGTTTGAGCTTGTTGCAGGTGCCAATTTTGGTAAATCATCACTTGTGAATCAAAGGAAAAAGGATAAAACCCTTAGCCTGAGCAAGTTATGCTGCAGTTTTATCTTGAATTATTCTTTAGGAAAGCTGTTCGTTTAACTCCAAAACTTAAGCAGCTGTAGATCTATATCTAAAATTACTCTTTCATAATTTATTCAGTGGTTGAGATATTTTCATAGCAGGCAGAGACACACATGGGAAAAATGTCAGTGCCTTTTACCTTTCGGTGCCATTCATTAAATAAAAAGATACAAAGTATAACCATTTTCTTTCTTCTCTGACTTGTTTTAGTTTGTAGCTCAGCCAAACTGTCAGCAGCTCCTGGCATCTAGGTGGTACGATGAGTTTCCCGGCTGGAGGCGGCGTCACTGGGCGGGAAAATTCATCACTTGTGTCTTCATCGGCCTCCTCTACCCCGTGTTCGCCCTTTGCTACCTCATTGCACCCAAAAGTCGCTACGGCCTCTTCATCCGCAAGCCATTCATCAAGTTTATCTGCCACACGGCTTCCTACCTGACCTTTCTGTTCCTGCTGCTCCTCGCCTCCCAGCACATCGTCACCACAGAACAGGACAGGCAGGACAGGCAGGGCCCGGCACCGACCACTGTGGAGTGGATGATACTGCCATGGGTGCTGGGTGAGTAAACTGGCTGTCACACGGGGCTGGCAGGAAATATGTTATCATAATGGATGAGCACTTCAGTGAATTATTCTCCCCAGTATATATTCTCTTAATTTATCTTAGTTTATTGCTGGATCTTAGGTTTGTTTTATTGTTTGTTTATCTGTTAATAAAAGTTTGTTCTATTTTCAGATTATTCAGACTATTTTCTATTTTGAACTTTTCTATATCAGCATTCCAACAACTCCTCACATATTTTCTACCTCTTTAAGTAATACTTTCAGGTCCCCACTTCTGGTTTACAGCAGTATTTTATACTAATTCCCACCAATACTTTGTGACATATTAGATATGGTTTGATAACTTAATTCATAGTTCATTATAAATGACTTGTACAGGTGGAGTAGTGGGAAGAGCTGTTGCCTCATAGCAACAAGATCACAGGTTTGCCTCCCATTCCTTTCCATGTAGAGTTTGTATGTTCTCTCTCTGTATGTGCTTTTTTTATTTTTATTTTTTTATTTGGTACACCAAAGTTTCTACCAGATAAAATACACAACTTTAGATTCAATAACTCTTAAGTGTTAGGGAAGTCCATCCATAGTTGTCTATCTTGCTTGACTCTGTGTGGCCCTGTAATGAACTGGGAACCTGTACTGGGTGTACCCTGCTTACAGTCGATGACTGCTGGCGAGAGGGAACAGCTACTCACAAGACTATAAAAAAGTTTATATAGAAAATGAATGGATTACATTGGCCTTAAATGCATTTTACTTTGTGTTTATTCTGATATTAGTGTGAGCCTGCAAACGTACTTAACAACTATGCATAACTGTATTGTTTTATTTTTTTTATATACGTTGTCTTTTAATATAATTTAAGCTGAAAAACTTCTGCCAAACCTAGAAAATAAAATGCTTTCATTCCCCATCATCTACCGGTAATATTGTAATTGCAAAATATATTAAAAAAATAAAAAATCGAAGCATAAACTCAAAAGTACATATTTTACATGAAGTGTATCATATTCTTGTTGAGCTGAAACCATGTGCAGACAGACACGAGGAGATCAGGGATGAAATAAAAAAAAAATATATATATATATATTTAACAAGAAAAAACAACAAGGCAGACGTGGCAGCAAACTTACAAAATGGAATAACACAAGGAGGCACAGAGGAACAGATCATGAACAGCTGTGGGAAGCACAATCCACGGACAACCAGAAAACACAGACACTGAACTTAAAGGGACACTAACGATACATAATTACAAAGACCTGGGGGGTTGGGATTAAAGCAGGTGAAGCAAGGAGCTGGCAACAGGAAGGAAGAAACACACACCAGTACACAAATACAATAATCTAAAGAAAGAACACAAGACAGACAGATTCTCACAAAGTGTCCATCCAAGTGTAAAATTCTAAATAATCTGTCAATAGTGAGCTTTTCCATCTTTATGTTTGTTATTTAGGATTCATCTGGGCAGAGATCAAGCAAATGTGGGATGGTGGTTTTCAAGATTATGTTCATGACTGGTGGAACCTGATGGACTTTGTCATGAACTCTTTGTACCTGGCCACAATATCTCTCAAGATTGTAGCCTACACTAAGGTAACCATTTGCCTCAAAGTATGAAATGAATATTTAAATGTGTTTTTACTGCATCTGTCGTACATCGTTTTCCCCGTTCAGTACAGCGGCACCAAACCTAGGAACCAGTGGGAAATGTGGCACCCTACTTTAGTAGCTGAGGCAGTGTTTGCCATAGCAAACATCTTTAGTTCCCTGCGCCTCATCTCGCTCTTCACAGCCAACTCTCATCTGGGGCCGCTGCAGATCTCACTCGGGCGAATGCTGCTGGACATCCTGAAGTTCCTTTTCATTTATTGTCTGGTAAACTCTCAGGAGACATTCAGAAGTTGGACTGTAAACATGGCAGGATTTAACAATCAACATTTTGCTTTCCTCCAGGTTTTGTTGGCCTTTGCTAACGGTCTGAATCAGCTGTACTTTTACTACGAAACAAAGGCTGCAGATGAGAAAGGAAAATGCAAGGGCATCCGCTGTGTCGAGCAGAACAACGCCTTCTCCACGTGAGTTTATCCTGTGTGCACTTGTGGAGTAAATGTGCGATGCTGTGAAAATGAGTGTGAAACAGTCTGTGTGTACTCGTACCGTTTACAAAATGTGTGAAAGCTTCAGAAACGATTACTGTTGTTAAGACAAATTAATGTTCTAGTACCAGTTTTATGAAGATGTGTGAGAATTTCTTTCAACTTTTCAAAAAAAAGAAAAAGTAAAAAACCCACCAATGACTGTAATATATGAAAAGGCAGCAGGTGATATAAATGCCTTCAATGACTGCAAGATCTTTAAATTTAAACATGCAATAATATTATAATTGTTTTTACAATGAAGGTTTATCTTTTTTTTTTTTTAGGTTATTTGAGACCCTACAAACTCTTTTCTGGTCTATCTTTGGACTGATCAGCTTGTATGTGACCAACGTGGATGCAGATCACCAATTCACGGAATTCATTGGCGCCACCATGTTTGGCACATACAACGTCATCTCATTGGTGGTGCTCCTCAACATGCTTATAGCCATGATGAACAACTCCTACCAGCACATTGCTGTGAGCACATATCAGTTCCACCACATACAAACAGCCTATATATAGAAAAGTTAACACAGTACACATGGTTCATGGTCTCTATCTGTACTTTTCTGTCTTTAGGACCACGCAGACATTGAGTGGAAATTTGCCAGGACAAAGCTGTGGATGAGTTATTTTGAAGAAGGAGCGACTCTTCCAGCACCTTTCAACATTATTCCCAGCCCCAAATCATTTTTGTACCTTATGTGTTGGATCAAGAGACAAGTGTGTAAGAGGACACGATCCAAGCGCCCAGAAAGTTTTGGAACCCTTGGAGTAAGTTTGATGTCAAGCAAGTTTATGCAAATGAAATTTGATATAAAGTGGAAACTCTGGTTTGTTTCAGAGATGTTACAATATCAAAATTCACCATTCATAGGAAATGCTTGTTCATTTTGTCATCTTAATCACTTACACTTACTTGTACAAAGCAGCATTTATATAGATCTATTAATCAGAATGAAAATCGGTACCAAAATACAGTGAGATTATGTTTGTACAGTAGTCCGAAAGATGGGCGGAGGGTACGTGCTGCTCTTTGAGAATGTGGCCCCTTATCCATTTTCAGAACACTTTTAGATAGAAAAGGGGAAAGGGCCATGAGGATAGATGGTGGTATTACAGAAAAGATCTCTTCACACCTTGTCCTTATCAAAATTCTACCAGCAAGTACATTTATAACATATTACATATGCATTTGATGGCAAGATGGTAAGATTTGTCCATGAAGCACTTCCAGATTGTCCATTGTCCTGATAAGATCTTGGTGTCAGTTGGTACGAGTTCTCGGGGGAGGGGGGGTGCGATAGACATAGCTTTACCTTAGTTTACACATCCCAGGAGAAATTTGATAAGTCAGACTGCTTCTTGGCCAACCAGGGGAGTCAGATTCAGATAAGCCACAATTATTGATTTTTTTCAGGCAGACTGTTTTTTGTTTTCTTGTCAGCCTTGAGTCCTGCTGGTACTTTCAATCCCAAAATGGTCAGATTTGTGGGCATTCCACTTGTCCGTGCTTTTGAACCCCTTCCAAGGTCGTCCCCAACATGCTGGCAAATCCCAGAAGCCACAGATGGCCTGTGATTCTCACAAATCACTTCCATCTTATGGTGTAGCTTGTAAATCAGCTGATTTTGAGTACTCAAAGCACAAACCAAACCTTCACACAGACTTGGCAGGTTTGCTATGGCCAAAACTGCTGCCGCCATCTTCTTTAATAGCCGATAACATAGGAATCCGCTGATGCCAAAAATCAGAAACCCTGCTATCATGGTTCCAATTATATAAACATCTTTGTTGTCCTTCTGCAATAATATGAAAAGACACATCAGCTCCCAAATTCCCCAGGGATCCATGACATATCCTGCCGCGTGCGTCTCAGTGGGGCATGAGGGCTCTCCAGGATCCTGTCGCTTTGTTGAAAAGATTTTATCGATTTCGTTGAAAGTCCAGCTGACCAGATCCATGACAATAGTATTGGTTTTGGAAGATGTGTAAAATAGGAGCTCTGATACACAGACATAGAGCCAAAATAAGCAGGAGGAGGACAGGAGAGTAGGAGGAGGAGGAAAAAGTGAAAAAGTATCCGCCTTGCACGAGAGCGAATGAGGAAAGTTTTATGGTATTTCAACAAGAAATTTAAATGTTTTCCTTTTCTGCTGTGCTTTTTTAATTCAACTTGACTTTTTCTAACGCTCATGCAGAGACGAGCAGCAGAGAATGTAAGGACAAACCACCAGTATCAGGTAAACAATCTCACTAAATAAAACGTAATGCTATTATAGTACCTCATGCTGTCAATGTGTCTTCATGAAACATAGTCTCGGTTACTAAGTTACTACATTTTGTTTTTCAGTCTGAATCGAAAGCTTTGTCACGATCACTCACAACACCAAACAATTTTTGTCAGTGTGACATTAGTCGTCTTTATTTGTTCAGCTTCAAAGGGGTCCATTGTAGCATTTTCATGCAAGTGTGTGGTGTGTGTGTGTTCAAAAGTGTTTTTGCTCTATTTTTACTGCCGTAGGAGGTCTTAAGGAACCTGGTAAAACGTTACGTGGCTGCAATGATCAGAGATGCCAAGACAGAAGAAGGTCTGACTGAAGACAACTTCAAGGTAAAACTGGGTCACGCAGAGTATAAATAACCTTAAACACAAGTATTTCCATCAATAGAGCACAGAACTACACAGATAGAGACATAGAATATTAATTTGCAACAAAAAGGTATTTTTATATAGAATATTTTTAGATTGTTGCTTTTTTTATTCACAGTTCTAATTACTTGGTTCACCTTCTTGTGTTCATTGCATCAACTGCTTTCATAATGATCTGATTAAGATCAAGATAAACATAATTAGCTGCTAATTATCTGTTTTACTTAGAAGTTTTATCTGCACATAATCATACAAACCCATACCCAAAAGATATCTTTAAGTACAGAAATAGTTATGATTTCCATTTATTATTTGAAATCTAAGTGTTATGTCCAGTGAACTGTGCATGCAAAGAAGTAAAGAAATTGTGAAAAGGCAGATGATTCATTTAAATAATCTTTACAGTAACCTATTGTACAGTTTATATATATATATATATATATATATATATATATATATATATATATATATATATATATACTTGTTTTCTTTTCCTCCTGCAAACAATGAGAAAACATCACAGAGAATTATAAAGTCTTGGCTTCAACAGCTGTAATTCAGATTTTTGCTGATTGCATAGGAAGCAGCAAAACTTCAGCCCTTTTCCAAACCCAAGCTTGCAGCTGATGAACAGGCTGTAAAACAACATTTAGAAAATAAACCTGTTTATTAAGTGGACTGGTGCCACAGTGTACAGTCAATCCAGTTCACCGTCCAAACTCAGACCAACTTGCAGAAATGTATGCTTCTCACAACCCCTGTTTATTTTGTACTTTATTCATGCAGGGCTCATTTTAGTTGTGTTTTAATTTAGTGTTTTTTTTTGTTGTTCTTTTAATGCTTTTAATTAATTTATGGTATTTTTTTTTTCATAAATTTACTCCCATTGATTTCTATTCTTAAGCACTTTGGTAACAGCTGCTGTTTTTAAATGTGCTTTATAAATAAATTTGCCTTGTCTTGACTAAGTAATTAATACAGCCCATGTTGGCACAAAAAACTGTTGAAAAGCAGAAACAGCCATCTTAATGAGTGCCAAACTTCTGCTGCACCTTTAAGATTTAAGATCTGTTTTAAACTTTTGTTTAAAAATTGATCATGTCCACCCTGATAGGAATTGTGTTGAATCACCCCAAGTTCTACAGCTGAAGCCTCAAAGGGAGCAAAAGTTCTGGGTACAGAAACATTTTGCTAATGTTGCTAGTTGTGGATCTTTAAAGTTCTTCATCTTCGTCTATCTAATGAATCAATGAGGACTGAGATATACTGACAGTAAAACTGAACTTACTCATGATCATAGCTTCTATTTCACAATCCTTTCAAAATAAAACTACATTGGCTGAAATAGATGTTGTGCAAGTTGTTTTCCTTTTTGTCCTTTGATAGGGAATGAGGTGATAGGTGTTATTTCAATAAAAGCATTTTTCTCATTCAGTATATAATAGTAAAGTACAATTCCTTCCAGATTTACACAAAAGTGGAAGAGCTGGAGTTTATTATTAGCATATGTGTTTTGGCTTTTCCCTAAAAATAGTCCATAATAGGAAAGTTGGCATTTTTACTGTATAAAATAAATGTACGTATTTTCCGCCAGAACCATCGCACTACCCTATGTCACAGCAATCCAAATATGTCTAATAAAGTGGAAAAATCTATAAATACGTTGTATCTATTATGCATCATTGCTGATGCTTCGCGTTTGTTATGCATCACCACTGACGACCCGGAAATGTGGGCCAAACCAGGAAATGTGGACCGGTATTGTGCCAAAAATCAATTGGCTGCCAAATGGCGGCTGGGTGGAGCATGCACGGGAGGACTTTAACAAGAATTTAACAAAATAACACCTAAAATCATTTATTTGTTTTTCTCAAAATTAAAATGAATGCACTTTGACGGTCAAATCAGCTGCATTTTCAAATGCCGATTCGCAGAAACGGGCACGCACAGAGGGATGAGTCTCTGTGCATTTCTTCGAAATTTAATAAGATAACCACCTAAAAACAATTGTTTGTTTACTCGACATTATAGTAAAGGGGTGTCAGTTGAACTTTTATTTAATAAAAGGACTTTAACGATCAAATCAGGTGTATTTCAAAAGTATTCGCTGCCTCAGTGCTCTGGGAGCGCACAGACACGGAGGGAAGGAGGAACACTGCGCAACTCTTAAAAATTTAACAAGATTAACACTTAAAAACAATTATTTGTTTGCTCGACATTAGAGCAAAGGTGTGTCTCATTTGAACTTTTACTTAATAAATGCACTTCAATGGTCAAATCAGCTGCATTTTGCCGGGGCGACACAGAGAAATGAAGATGATTTGACGGTTGCTCCAAGGGAAATGGACAAAGGTGGAGTATGGCAAGCCAATTGTGTCATTAATGTCATGACTTTTACCCATTACATGACACAACAGCATGCTATATAACTCTGCTGCCATCTAGGGGCTGAAAAATAGTAGTGCTCAATATTTCAGTCAGAATGAATGAAAACGGTCATATCTCAACCAAACATTGGTATATAAATGTGAGAAAAAAAATCCATAAATACATCGCTTTGGCATATAAGTCGCAGGGCATGTAAATTATGCAAAAATTTGCGACTTATACGGCGAAAAATACGGTATTGAGTTTACATGTTTTGACCAAGTTGTAACTGACTCAATGCCGTGCAGAGTTTTTGCACTAAAATGAGATAAATACTACACGACTGGTTATTTTCATTGGCACTTCCTTTCGCTTTGCTTTCTCAGGAGCTGAAGCAAGATATCTCCAGTTTCCGTTATGAGGTGATGGGCATGATGAAGACTGGGAAGCCTGCTCTGCAGACTGCAAAGGCCAGCTGCAGCTCCGTGGAATCCAGTCTGGCTTACCCCAACGCCTCGCTCAAGATTTCCCCCGGCCCTTTGAGCAGCCAGGCGAAAAGCAAACTGAACCGTTTCAAAATGACCACATCCATCCTCAAGCAGAGCAGCTCCTCAGCTTCACTACGGCCCCTGGAATCGTCCAACAGTCTTCCCAATGGACTCGTGCTCTCAGATGAGAGCTGCGGTGAAACCTCAAGTGAGCGGAGGAACTACTGCAAAGATATTAGTGACTTTGGTTTGTACCAAAAATGCCACTGGAGCAGCAAGGAAGCCTCGTCAGGCTCAGGGGAGATTTTAAGAGAGATGTACTCTTTGTCAGAGGAAGCAGGGGAATGTGAGAGCTCAGACACTGAAGAGCTCAGCAAAGAGGTTCTGGCTAGAGCAAATGTGGAGAAAGAACGACCAGGGAATAAATTAAGAGAAGAATCCCCAGAAAAAAAACAAGAAACTAACAGCAATGGCAGCCTGGATGAATTTGGAGAGGACAAAGACTCACCTTGCACTAACTCTGACGCAGATAAAAATGAATCAGGGTTACACAGAGACGAAGCATAAAAAGTGAAAATCCATAATCTAAATTTAAGGCTAAATAATGCATGACTAAAGATGACTGACAATCAATAAGAGGCTAAAGAAAGGACACGTTTTGCCATCATTTCTACAAAAAGTCCGACATTTTACTGAACAAATAATCCGCTTTGATCTTGAAAGCAGCTTTTAGTTTAGGTGATTTAAATCAGCAGAGGAATTGCAGCAAAGGTGACTGAAGTTTAGTGAAAGCATTTCAAAGATTACTGTTAGAGATAAGATCATTTCATCTTATCTCGTCCTTACAGAAGATTAAAAAAAATAATTGTTTCTGAAAGTGAATCTTCTTTTTTTTAGCCTCTCTTCTTATCTGACATGTGCATTTGTGCTCAAATGATCCTTCTGCTTACCAACTCCTTGATCAATCTCTACCTCTTTTTTTGCCCGTTTTTCATCACACCCCTTTATCTCCCCCATCCTTATCTCACTAGAGCAATAGATGTGTTGTTTTAGACTTGACTTTCTGCCTTACACTGTCTGTTACTGCACTTTACATGATATAAAATGGCGTTCTGTCTCCGCTTGCAACAACTCTGTTAATGTTCCTCTATGCAAACACTTTACATGTGTATTAGGCCGACTGTACATTTTGCTCTGACAATAAATATTATCCTGGTGGAACATGACCAGTTTTGGGGAGTTATAAAAAAAAATGAATATAGCTTTCCAACCATTTTAATCTACACATTTTTCATGTTTTAGCACTCCAGCAGAAAGGAAACTTTCTATTACTGATTAGATTTGTGGTTCCTACAATGTACTGTTAACTTAAATGAATGGGACTAAATAAAAAATAATCAAAAACAAAACCACCATGAACTTTTCAGGTTTTATTTGGGACTGCCAGATTCTACAGTACTGCAGAATGGCAGCACCTTATTATTATCCACCCGACAAGGGTTTCTAAACTTTATATCTTACTGCTCTGTCAACTTTAATGCAGCCCGCAGCGCAACGTGTACACCCACAAATGTTATATCAAAATGAACGGTTCGGTGCCGTTATGCATGCTATTACGGTTTTTTTTTTTGTGTTTGGAGTTACCATGGTGACATAATTTTCAAACTAAGAGGACATTTTTCCCATGCAAAACACCTGACAGGGCACTTCTCACACTAACTGCTGCTGTGAGATCACATGACAGAGTGGAGAGGTTTCTGAATACATCTTAGAAGGTCACTGTTGGATTTGTTTGAAACGCACAGAAAGTAATCATCAGATGAATATCTAGAACTACTTAACGTTCAGATCAATTTTGATTCAAGATGGCTGCCACAGCTACCTCTGCAAACACAAATTGACTATAACTCAGTCATTCTTTCAGATACTGGGCTGAAATTTAGTTTGCTCGTTGCCGAGAGTGAGTTGTTATACATTCTTAATGCAAATCAAACATCCAAGATGGCCGCCTTAGCATAAAGGGAGAAAAAAATATATAACTCAGCTGTTTTTATAGCTGAAATTTAGTGTGTTGGTAGATGAGAGCAAGGACCATTAAATAATGAATTCAAATCTAAAAATTCAAGATGGTCATCATTACATTTAAATGTCTTTAACTCAACTATTTTTACACATAGCTGAAATTTAGTGTGGTTCTAGCTGAGAACGTTCCCTATCACATATATAAATCCAAATTTTAAAAAAATCCAAGATGGTCGTTTTAACTAAATGGGGGGAAAAATGTGATAACTGGGCCATTTTTAGAGCTATCAGCTGAAATTTGGTATGAGAGCAAACCCTAACATAGTACTGTCAAATCAAAATTTTACATTGGCAGTAGCATCAAAGTTTCTCCAGGAACTTTCTAATTATTATTATTTTTGTGTTTGTTTCAAAGTAAATTAAAAAAAAAAAGTAACAATCAAGCTTTTTTCTGAAACAGTTTTTAGTGTCATATTTCAGATGGGATGAACTATCAGACACCTAAAACTGCAAAAATAGGCACAAATATCTTCAAAACCACTCCGGGTCTTTTTCATTTTGAAGACTTGTTCCAAAGGGTTTGCATGCTGGGCTGTAAATGTTTACAACACCGGCCCAAGATTTAAGATATTTTCCTTTATCAATAATATAAATATCTAAGAACACTTGTGGTGTATCAAAACTTACAGTAAATGAGAGCCTCGGTATTTCTGGATGAAATATTTCCTGTTGTTTTTCATGCCCGAGTTTTAGACTAATGTGATCTTATATTGAAAAATGACTTAGTTTACGTCATTTTGGTGCATCCTGAAAATAAAGTTATGTGCAATCATTTGTTAGTACATTTGAAATGACTCTCAGTAACTGCCACTTTAAATTTTAGCTCAATATCTGTAACCTTAAAGTCATTTTTGTAGTTTATTAGAGGTAGTAGCCATTTTGAATGCTAGTGTCAACTCCAAAAGTTAATCAGTTGTAGATGTACTTTGAAAGATAAAGTTCTGAGAATTTTGTTAAAATCTCTCCAGTGATTCATGCAATATTTTATTAACAGACAGACTAACATAATGACAAGATTTTAAGCAAATATCTTGAGTGCTCAGTTGGTGCTCAGAGTTTGTGTTGGGGATGACTCTCAGCTACAACTAACCAAACTTTTGCTTAATATCTGTAACGTTAACTGAGTTAGTCATTTATATTTGCTAAGGTTGATCAGCTGATTGGCAGCCATCTTGAATCAGACTCCAAAAGTTAATCTGTTTCAGATGCACTTTTAATGAGTGTTTTATGAATATTTCAATCAAATCTGTCAACTGATTCATGCAATATTTTAGGAACAGACTATAGAACACGTGCACACACTCTCACAAACGTGCACACATACAGACATGGGAAAAAAAACATCGTTGCTTTCCGTTCAGCTTCTTCAGCAGACGATAACTGTGGAGAGTCTCATCTGTAGGCTAATCATCTGAACCAAACATGATGTGTTCTTTACTCACTTTAAGGACATTAAGAAACGCCAAATTGAAAATCCAAATTACTTCCCAAAGTACTGTAACAACTGTAGCTCATATCAGGTAAAAATAAACAAATAAAATAAAGTTTTTGTATATGTGATATTTCACAGAAGAATATACTGTATGTGTCACAGTTACATAACACAGCTGAAATGTAGTAATTTAACAATTACTGGCTTTTTGACCAATCATTAAGAATTGCTGAGTTTTCTGAAAGCATCAGGATTAGAAGGAGAGCATCCAAGATAAAAGCCCAAAATAATTAAGATTATTTTGTTTTATTTAATCCATTTTTAGTCCTTTTAAAAATTCTAACATGGAAAACATCCAAAGGCAAAAAGTGAGCTAAGTGGATCATTTCAGCAAAATGTCCCTCAACATCTGATAACAGGTATTAAACATTCACTCCTCAGGTCAAAGATGGTGGAGGAATTTGTTGCCATGGTAACTCAGCAAATGGATGCAAAGCCTTTTGGAAGCAGTCATGCAGTTGATCTTGTCATGCGGTTTTTAGCCAAATCCTGAATGGCTTTTTATACCTTCAGCCTATATTTAAAAAAAAAAGTTTTTATTAATTTATTGAGATTAATAAAATAGATAAATTAAGGCAGCACGGTGGGTCAGTTGAAAGAGCAGTTGCCTCTCAGTGGGAAGGTTGCTGGATCAAATCCCGGCTGGAGACCTTCCTGGGTGGAGTTTGCATGTTGTCCCTGCATGTGTGGGTTTTCGACTTCAGCTATAACCAGAGAGGGCAAGTGTCTGGATTTATTGTAGATATTGGTAAAACAGCCACCAGTAAGGGTGTAAAAACTGTAAACAAAATCATTAATATAATATTAATATAATATTAAAATGTATATAAGCTATCTATGTAAATGAAAATGTAAAAATGCCACAAAGCTGTGTGTACCAACCAAAGAGGAAAACGTGTCTCATCACACAAGTAAGCAGATTTGATCTTATTTACCTCAATGTGAATGTGATCCAAACATAAATGAAGCTAATAATGTATCCATCCATCCATCCATCCATCCATCCATTTTCTTCCGCTTATCCGGGGTCGGGTCGCGGGGGTAGCAGCCTAAGTAGGGAGGCCCAGACTTCCCTCTCCCCAGCCACTTGGGCCAGCTCTTCCGGGGGAATCCCGAGGCGTTCCCAGGCCAGCCGAGAAACGTAGTCCCTCCAGCGTGTCCTGGGTCTTCCCCTGGGCCTCCTTCCGGTGGGACGTGTCCGGAACACCTCACCAGGGAGGCGTCCAGAAGGCATCCTAAACAGATGCCCAAGCCACCTCAACTGGCTCCTCTCGATGTGGAGAAGCAGCGGCTCTACTCCAAGTCCCTCCCGGATGATCGAGCTTCTCACCCTGTCTCTAAGGGAGAGCCCAGACACCCTGCGGAGAAAACTCATTTCGGCCGCTTGTATCCGAGATCTCATTCTTTCGGTCACAACCCAAAGCTCGTGACCATAGATGAGGGTGGGAACGTAGATCGATCGGTAAATTGAGAGCTTCGCCTTTTGACTCAGCTCTCTCTTCACCACGACAGACCTGTACAGCGCCCGCTTCACTGCAGACGCTGCACCTATCCGCCTATCGATCTCACGCTCCATTTTTCCCTCATTCGTGAACAAGACCCCAAGATACTTGAACTCCTCCACTTGGGGTAGGACCTCCTCCCTGACCCAGACAGGGCACTCTACCCTTTTCCGGCTCAAGACCATGGCCTCGGATTTGGAGGAACTGATCTTCATCCCGGCCGCATCGCATTCGGCTGCGAACCGCTCCAGCGAAAGCTGTAGATCACGATCTGATGAAGCCAATAAGACCACATCATCTGCAAAAAGCAGAGACGCAATTCTGAGGCCACCAAAACGGATCCCCTCAACACCTTGGCTGCGCCTAGAAATTCTGTCCATAAAAGTTATGAACAGAATCGGTGACAAAGGGCAACCTTGGCAGAGTCCAACTCTCACCGGGAACAAGCCCGACTTACTGCCGGCGATGCGGACCAGGCTCTGACACCGGTCATACAGGGACCTAACAGCCCGTATCAAAGGGCCTGGTACCCCATACTCCCAGAGTACCCCCCACAGGG